AACCCTGCGCTCTGCAGTCCCGAGGGGAAAAGCAAAAGCTGTTTCCCTGCACTTACTCACGCTCGATGTATACGTCCATTTATACATCTATTTTTCTTCCGAGGCACTTGGTGTCAAGAAGCAGCTGATGCAGGGACGCGCAACCTCAGAGGGAAGGTGTCTATTGCTGACGAGTTTCAGAACAAAGAGAGATGAACTGTTAAGACATTGGAGTTATTTGCATAGAATCTATTGCATTTCCAGGCAGAAAAGGTTAAAAAGAGGACTGACAAGGTTTAGGAACTATCTGTAGTTCACTGAAGCCTTAAATCAAGTTAACACTCTCACAACCCTTGGGGGATTTGCATAATTTCCATAACGCGCAGCATGTTTTTTGCCTCCTGATAGAAGCCATCAGTTATGTAAGCAAATTGGTTGCATAATTATGCAGATGGAAAAAGAAATTTAATTGATTCAACATAAAAATGTGCTGTTCATTTCACCCGGGATTTCTTTTAACTCAGTGAGGAATAAAATAAATTGGGAGAGGTAATCAGCAGGTGACAGTGGCCGATACCAGCTCCATGGCGTAGGGTACCCATTTTCAAAGAGCCAGAGCAGCCCACCCCCCTGAGCACAGGAATGAATTCCTACTTTTTAGCTAAAGGTCTCAACACTTATTGCTTACAAATATCACCACAATATCACATGGCAGTAGCACTGTGGCTTTATCTGGTCTCGTTATTCTCTTATCAGTTCCCAGGATACATCCCACTGGCTCAGCAAGAATGGCACAGACATTTCCGAATGGAAAGCTTGTTTTATACCAGACAAAATTAACATCCGAAGAAGTCTGTATTTTGACTACCTCTTGTCCCCTAACAGAAGGAAAATTTTAAGCATCGCAATAAAGTTGCTAAAAGCGGCAACTGAGCTGTTTTCTCCTCGCTCCTTTGTTTCCGTTCTGGTCCTCAGTCTGCAGATGGTCAAAAAGTGGCACCAGTTTCTCTGGTCCCATCACACGCAACGGCACCGAAGCTCTGAGGCCAATAATGTCAGCATTAATTTTTTATACTAGTCATCATACTAGTCATTTTAGAAAAGAGTTATGCATAATTTCAGTTAAGACTGAAAAACGTAGACCTGGGATTTGCCAAATAAACCCCACAAAGATGCAAGATGCATCCTGGAGAATGTGAAAGGACAAAAATGTGAACTAGTAATTGCTCTTAATGTGGCTGTACTTTACTAAGCTGAGGAGTATGGCATTAAGATTTTGGTAATTAAAAGTTTGATTACTACACCAGGGACATTAATTTTACTATTTCTCCTCATGTGAAACTCTCACTAACATCCATTAGAATTCTTCAGCGAATTGAGCACAACCATAGGCCTAGCTGTAGCCTCCGCTCGAGTCTGTAGTTAAAACTGGAAGCTGGCCATGTCCACAGCTGGGAGTTTCAGCCCAATTTATTCATGAGCATTTGCTACATTATGTGCTATGGCGTGGTGAAAAACCTGCATAGTCTGACTGATTTCACACATTCTTAACCTCCTCATGCAGCATATCATACTTCAGATTCTTCTACTAGTTATATTAAACTCTCCACATCTACTTTGCCATTTGCCTATCCTCCTGCATACCTAAGAATATTAATTACAGGGATCTGAACAGAATTAAATAATTTAATGACAATACTGACTCACAGATATTTTGGATACTTCATATAAAGAATAAAAAAAAGTTTATTAACATCTTAACAACTCCAAAATGATCCCTCCAATTGCTCTTTATAAAACATTGTAAAATTATCAAGCTTCTATTTCCAGCTTCTCACCTCCATCCCCGATGTAGGTTAAGAAACTCTCAAAACTACCAATGCTTTGAAATAAAATTGTGGTTAAGTCTTCCAAACAAGATTATTCTGTTTTAGTAACAAGAAACTGTCCATACCTAACAAAAGTAATCTTTCCAAGAGTGTACCTTGTCATCAGTGAAAACCAAACAAAGATTTTCACAAAGGGGATTTCACATGCATCTAACAACATACTGAAGCAGCACAGCATTGTCCAGACCTAGCTACTGAGCACAGCACAGACAGGTTTTTTTTCACATTTTTCTGTCTGCAAACAGAAATTTTCCTATATGAAAAATTAAATATATCAAACGAGTTGCTTAATCTCAAACAGTAGTTCTTTCAGCTACTAAGAAACAGTAACTTATACCTGGGGAAAAGCAAAAATATGGATATTGTCTACTGAGTGGCTGGCTCTGCAAAACTGCATTGTCTCTGTTGTAATTTACTTTATTCTTTGCAACACTTTTTCATCTTTCCAGGCTCGTTTCCATTCCACACTGGAGTTCTGTCCTGTTTAGCACATGGAATTTCTATCAACCTTCAAATCAAAGGTTGCTCAAGAAACTTTTCTGGCAATTTGATGCACATCAAAACGACCAGATGTGTAGGGTATTTCAAGTGGACCCAGAGAGTACAAAAATGTGAATACAGGACTTACTTAAATTGCCTACTGGTTTATCATGGCGATAGGGAGAAACACTGTATTGACAGAAACACCAGATGCACCAGTTGTAACAAAACTTCCGAGCAATGATGTGGGCAGCTTGCTTTGCTTGTTAATGTAAGACATGACTGAGATTGCATCCTATCAGCTGAAGATGATACTCAGGAGATGGAACCAAAACATTGCACAAATTTTACACAGTTCCAAGTTAAGCTAGAAGGTCAATGATTAACCCCTGTCTGAAAAATAAAGCAATATTTGGAATTTTTTTCTGGAGATGATCTAAATGAAAATTCAAGGATGCCGATAATGGAAAAAATAATGCTGTCCCTAGAACATCCCAAGCTTTGAAGTCATACAGATTACTAAAAGAATTTTGTCCTTCTGCATCTCTCAAACACAGTATTAGCCACATCTGGTACCGCTTACAGAAATGTGGGATTTAGCTGAGGTTCAGATAGCCTCTGTCTAATTCCAAGGGAGATTAAGCTACAAAGAATCTTACAAAAAGTAATTAGCAAAAATTACTTAGTTTCTCACAGTTTTAGTTTGCTGAAACCTTCCAAAATTGCTCTTGCCACTAATGCTGGAGTGGCTGGAAGAATGTCAGTTTAGACACCTCACCCGAAACCTGATCACTTCTTATCCAGTCTTTCAGCTACTGAGTTTGACCAGGTGGATAGCCTTACAAATGGCAGAGCCATCTTGCTGAACACCAAGCGGTGGTACCCAAAGTCTGTTTGAACTACAGACAACTGTTCTTCAAGAGAAATTCTGAGGTAAGGGGCTTTTAAAGAAATGCCATTTGATTGTTAGTACTGAATCTACCATTTTTTAGAAGGAAAGCAGATGAGATCCCTACAGAAGAATGACACCCTGAGAAAACACAACAGCCTCTATCCTTGCATTTTTCTGTACAGGTGGCACAGGAGGAAGGCAGTGGTCTTGGTGGTCATCAGATTCAATCCTCTCTTCCAGTAGCAACTCCCAGACAGACTGGATGAGCAGTGGTATAGAAAAGGGTCAGGATCTGACCCTGAAAAGGGTCAGGAATCTAACAACTATCAATCAGATTAATGACATCAGATTAATGGCATGAACCTCAAGACTAGAGTGGCAACCCCCCCAAACAAAAAAACCACTGACATCCTTCCAAAACCCTCCACAACTGTCCAGCACTAAGATCATGATGGCTTTCATGATTCAGAGTAGCAAAGGACACCTGAAGTAATGCTGCCGGAACTGGGAAGAGATGCATGCTGCCCCAAAGGAGGAAAAGATTTTTCAAACATTGAGGGCTTACGCCACCTTCTTGATCTCACTTACAATGGAACAGCCTTAAAAAAAAAAACAAAAAACAAAACTTTTATATCCAAGAGAGCAGAAATGTTCAGCACAAAAAGCTCTAAAGGGGCCGGAGAACAGGACCAAAAGAGCTGTATTATTGGCATGTTTCTGAGGGTTGGTACTGGAGATCTAAACTAACACTAGAGAATTGGGGAGCTCAGCAAGTATCAACTTTGACAGAGGTCCCATTGATTTGCCATGAGAGTTTTCTGATATGAAATGTTTGGTTCTTCTTAGTCAGGCTGCAGATCAGTAGATGAAGTGTGACTTAAGCAATTCATGCTCCAAATCTGATTCAGGATTTGCAGGTGAAAAAAGAATTCCTGACAAATCAGGAATGCTAGAACCAGCTTGCTAGAAGCCTCCATCTCATCATGCAGTTGGCAGAAACTAAAAAATGGGCAAAACCACTTCCCTCTAAGAGCACAATCAAGGGAGAAAGCAAGTTTTCCTTTCCAGTGGAAGTATGCATATATACAAATGTGAAGCCATGTACAAGTTATTATCAAGACACAACTAAACCTTCAGCTGTGAGCAACTTCTGTAGACTCTCTCAGTTCTGTGAAGGAAGGTATCCTAAGCCAGGCATGTCTCAAGTGAGTTTGAAGTTATTTTATTCTCAGTGCTTTTTGCTGGGTTTTTGGAGTAAGGAAATTAATATCTAAGGGGCACAGATGGGACAATATCCTCACAAGATACCATGAGGAAGACAAAAGGAAACATGTATTACTTCTACAGACTATGAAGCAGTGTGGAAAACGTCTCACTCAAGAACAGTAGATACACTCAATCAATGCACTTACATACTGTCACCTGCTGGGAGAAGAGTAACAGTTAGTGCTCGATTCTCCATAAAAAAGGAGAATGTAGGTTCTGAGGCTGCAGCTTCCTCATTATCTAATGATGCTATTACAAAACATCTATGTAAGTCAGTGTGACAATCTATATAGTTAAGGAAAAAATTACTCTCTGTGCTACTATCTGCATTGTCATCAATGTAAGTATTTAAAAACACAACTTGAGTTTGAAGCCTTGCTGTAAATCAGTAAGGCGCAGTCTGAACACAGTGGGAACTGCCTTTATTAATTTGTATTACTTTCAACAATGATTGCTTTAACCATTAAAAAACAAAAGTCTTCACTATTTAATGACTACTGAAACAGCCAGACCTTTGCAGCCCATTTCATATTCTCCTGAAGCCATTTTAGAGCAGATGTAAACTCCAAGCTGTAAACTTCTTCCATGTTAACATTCATTGTCATATGCTTAAGAAAAAGCTTTGGATCAGATACACGAGCAGCCAGGATCAATCTCTCCACTGCCGCTTGATAGTCACTGTTATTCTGAACTGTCTGCTCTTCACATCTGCAAGTGATTTTTCACAAATACAAAATTAGGTACCATACAGGCCCTGTGTCACTTGCCTGACGCTTTATACTGGCAACAACATCACAAAAACATTAAAATAATGCCTTGTGTTCCCTTCACTTATAATAGATTATGTGAGTTTCTAGACAAATTTTAGCTGATTATTCTGAAGAATTAAAAAGTTGGAAAAAGTGTATTTTTAACATATTTTACTGTGATGAAAAGTAATAGGATTTAACACCAGTGCAAAGTAGGTCTCAAATATTCACAGCATGTTTCATGAAGAAATGTTCGACTGTGGGCTGCAAAATTCAATAAAGGAATGTAAACCATTTTATGAACTGGAAATAGCAAGAATTCATGTACATGCTTGCATCCAAAAGCATTGCTCATTTTTGGCACGTAATCACTTCTGGAATAAGGAGGTGCCTAAGTGACATGCCTACATTTTTGCAAGAGTAGAATTTACCTGTTAAGCAAACAAGCAGAGGTACAATAGCATGCACATGAAAACAAGAGATAAAAAACGTCTCATTTATCAAAAGAATAAAATTAAGAGATGCATTCCTTGGGAAGGGTAGAGGTGAAGGAAGACAGAGTACTCAAGTTTGAGATGCCCCTGTTCATCCTTCTTAACAAATGCAGCATTTCTACGCAGTTTCACATTTTGATGCTGAGCCAGTCAGTGTCAGAGAAAATGGGGTATTGAAAAATAAATTACAGGTATAATCTAGTGACAGTGGTTGGTGGTTTACTGACAAAGGAAAAAGCAACAAAACACATTTTTATCTGAAGGTATTAAGTCTCACAGAAAGGGGGAAAAACTCTAACAAATTTAATATTGAGATATCTCCTATAAAGAGACTCAAGTAAAATGGCTTCATGCACTTTGCAAAAAACAGCCAAGAAATGTTAGAGTTGCTTTCTAAAAGCAACTGTGCCCTTCTACTCCACTGCTTAACCACAAGAATCTATACACCAAGATATCAAGCTGTCCTGTTTTTGAAAACACAGTACACTCTCAGCGTGGTAGACACATTCAGTTAGGGAACACAGGCCAGAAGCACTCTGGAACAATTACTTTTCTGCTACACACATGTAAAAATAATACCCCCCCCAAATATTTACTGTTCTATAACCAGTTTAGAAACAAGGATTAAAAACAACTTTAAAACCAACCATTCTCTTTCCCAGTCAATGGAAAATAAGAGCTCTCATTAATTACATGATCACATGGATAAATACAATCAAAATGGTACATATCTGACAACAAACCTTTTCAGTATTATTTGAAGAGTCTGAGTAGCAGCCATTGGACTTTGAATATCACTGGCATTTGAAACAAGAAATATTTCAATGGCCAAAAGCATCTCAACCTCAGACAGGTAAGATGGAATCGTCAAAAGTTTGTGATATAAATTTCCGTGCTGTGGTGGGTAGCAACCCAATGATAAAGCACCTGAGGGTAAATGCAGAAACATAAGGATTACCAATTAGGATTACCAATACTGAACATAGCTCTGTTTTCTTCAGTATGTGGCTAAGAATGTGGGAAAAAAAACCCCAAACGCTTAATGGATTTTACTATTTCACCTGTGAAATGGCCGGATTTGAGAACACAGCAAATAGTATTCACTCATAATATTCCCTGTTGTAAAATGTTATTTTTATCAATGAATATTATCAGCGATGATTAAAAAGCTCTTTCAGAAATCCGGGGACTCCCAAGTGCGTAGTAACACAAGGACAATTCAGGACAGGTCGGACAGAAGCTTTAACAACTATGATCACAGTGAGAGGACATTTGAACAGCACCTCCCCTTTTGCTCCCCTGTCCTCTGCCAAGTGGTCCCAGAGACCCAACCTACATAGCATTTCAGAAAAAAAAAGAAAAAAGGAAAAAAAAAAAAAAAAAAGGAAACAAGGAAACAAGGAAACAGGGGAAAAAAGGGAAAAGGGAAAAGGGAAAAGGGAAAAGGAAGAAAAAAGGAAAAAAAAGGAAGAAAAAAGGAAAAAAAAGGAAAAAAAAAGGAAAAAAAAGGAAAAAAAAGGAAAAAAAAGAAAAAAAAGGAAAAAAAAGGAAAAAAAAGGAAAAAAGGGAAAAAAGGGAAAAAAGGGAAAAAAGGGAAAAAAGGGAAAAAAGGGAAAAAAAAGGGAAAAAAAAGGGAAAAAGGAAAAAAAAGGAAAAAAAGGAAAAAAAAAGGAAAAAAAAGGAAAAAAAAGGAAAAAAAAGGAAAAAAAAGGAAAAAAGGAAAAAAAAGGAAAAAAAAGGAAAAAAAAGGAAAAAAAGGAAAAAAGGAAAAAAGGAAAAAAGGAAAAAAGGAAAAAAGGAAAAAAGGAAAAAAAAGGAAAAAAAGGAAAAAAAAGGAAAAAAAAGAAAAAAAAGAAAAAAGGAAAAAAAAGGAAAAAAAGGAAAAAAAGGAAAAAAAAGGAAAAAAAAGAAAAAAAGAAAAAAAAGGAAAAAAGGAAAAAAGGAAAAAAGGAAAAAAAAGGAAAAAAAGGAAAAAAGGAAAAAAAGGAAAAAAAAGAAAAAAAAGAAAAAAAGGAAAAAAAGGAAAAAAAAGGAAAAAAAGGAAAAAAAGGAAAAAAAGGAAAAAAAAGGAAAAAAAAGGAAAAAAAGGAAAAAAAGGAAAAAAAGGAAAAAAAAAAGAAAAAAGGCGGCGAGGGAAAACAATCACTTCAATGTCAACAAAGCCAAGTATCCATCCCAGGAGGGATGGACTCCTTAAGTAGCTTGCTAACCACCACAATTCTGAGACAGAATCAAACAGGAAATAATGTGACAATACAGAGAGATGGCTCTTGGTGGACCCTGTCAGAGTGGCTCACCCAGTATCATCTTCGCTCAGAAGTGGGGAGTTGAAAACAATCAGAGACTGTTAGCTTTTAGTTGAAAGGAATTTTCTTTTAGTTAGGATAAACTTCTTAGCCAGACCTCTCAAATATTAAATATTAATAATTTTACCACCACAGCTCTAAACAGAAGCATAAAGAACTCTAATTTGCCTAAATGAAAAAGTGAAGATGATGCACTTTTTAACCATTCCAGGGTTCACATTTTTGAAATTCTGAAACTGAATGTAAAAAATTAATTTTATCAGAATTACATTTATTTCATGCGAGGTAGTATGCACTGATTCCTATTTTCAACTGTCACTATTTCCCAATAAACATTTTGGTTACAAATAAATTTCTGATAGTGACACAGAAAGTACTGTTTTTTTCTTAAAAAGTGTACTCTTACCCATTTCTACCCAACATACTGAGCTGTTATGAGCATATGTTATCCAAAGAACGAAAGGGAAGGATACTGCTTAAGAAGCAACTTACTTTTGTAGTAGGTCCTAGCTTTAGACCACAAAGAACTTCTTCCCAAAGCTGTGATTAATCCTCTAAGTAAAGAAAAATCAATAGCTATGTTTTTTGAAAGCATGAAGTCTACTGCAGAAGATGAGATCCCAAGGTTCTTGCTCTCAAAACAGGCATTTATCAGCTTGTTAAAAAGGCAGCTGTACTGAGAAACATCTACAGTATCTGAAATGAAATTAAGAATATGAACCACTGAATTAAGTCAAACGCAAATCTAATTGAAGAAATGCTTCTCAATCAGTACCTAAATCAGGACTTTTGCTTCCATCAGCAATATGGAACAAGGTTGAGATAACTTATGATAATGCTTTATTCATCAAAAGTCTTTTCATACAGCCAGTTCATTCATGTTGTGAAAAAGAAGCATTAATTTGTAAAGTTAGAATTTGCTGCCAAAACCAATAGCATCAGATAAAAATATATGCACTTGCCCAAGCCTATAAATACAATCTTCACCTGATCTCTCAGACGTAGAATTTACACCAATAAAAATCACCTTGGTGCTTCCAAGTTCTGTTCTACTCTTACTCTGAACTGTCCCCTTCTTGTCAGGACTGAGCAGCCTTGTATCCACCTCGCGCCTCAAAGGACTAGATTCTTTCAGGATTCTCTAAGTAGATCGTCTTCCAACTAAGCTCTCTTAACATACCTAAGAGCACACACTGGCAATAGGACTGAGACCTACATGCAGAAATCAGCTGAGGTTTCCTCAGTGGAGCCTAAGTAACTGTGCATCTCATCCTGAAGTACACATCCAAAATTTGTCAGACAAATTGAGCCCAAAAGAGCACTCAGTTCTTAACATGGTACGTAAAAGCAGCCTAGGTTAGCTAGCTCAGTTATAGAAAAAAACAATGCATTCATCTGAAGTTAAGATAAAATGAATTGCCCCAATGATATCCCTATTTTATCTTATTGTATAGACTGTGTAAGATCCTTAAAAATTTAGTGGGTCTTTCCTGTTGCCCTGTGTAATTGAGCCAACTGGAAAAAGAGGACAGGTGTACAAACTCTGTGCATGTACGTGCATGTGTGTGTACAGTAAGAGCTGCAGAGTACAATATATACTTTAACTGACATTACGCTCTTTGAAGAAAAAAACATGGGCTTGTCTAAAACCATCTTATTTCTTCAACAAATTTTAGCCGGAAAACAAACAAAAAGAACAGTACAGAATCATCTGTTAAATTTGTAGCTCTTAACACAGTACCTCTTTCTTTACTTACCAGAATGATTTTGAAAACCTGGTAAGTTCTGCAGAACTTCAAATGCCTGCCTGTATAAACTCTTCCTCAAGTATTTGTGCACTAGTGTACATAACAGATTATGTCGACTGAGTATGTCCATTTTATCACAGGGCCACAACGGTGCATTTGTGGTCCACTCTGACTCTGTGGCAAACAACAGTGCAGTGTTATTTCTACGAACCGAAACTGCTGGATGCTGAGACTCTTGGCCATTAAGAATATACTGTAAACTGTAGCAGAAAACAAATTTCAGAGTTTCACAAAAAATGGAGTTCTAGTTATTAATAACTTGTTCCCTATCACCAATCCTTCTCAGACAGGTTCTCTGAGCCTTTATATTGTAAATAACCCCTGTTATTAAATATCACTGTAGTAAAATGGGCTGTCAGTGGCATATATAAATATGTGTATATCTACGTACATATATAAAATCAAATAGCAAATTTCAGATCCTCAGTATTACTTTATAGAGTACCTTTTATTCTTCTTTATACTTCTGAGTTTCTTCTCTTTTCACCAGATCAGAATTCCAAAAAGCCACTAATTATGTGTTATTTAATTGCAGAAATATGGTACTATTCTAAAGCTATTTTACTAAATGTGGATACTGTGAGGATTAAAGAAGTGCTACATTGACCCAAGCCTGAAAATTTTTAGACACTGAATGTCACCTGGCTCAAAGAAACTACATGGGGCAGGGTCACTTTGCAAGCTGTACCCCTCCCTTACTATGATAGGCTCTTGAGTAGAAAGGTGCTGATGGCAGACTACTGTGAAAACTTCTGAAAAAAATTTCGTATTAGTCATGATAATTCTTACACGTATCAAGAAGAATACTAATCAGTAAGATGGATCACATTTAATTTTTGTTGTCCCAGTATTATTAACTTTATTTAATAACACAGACCAGCTTGTAACTTTTATCTCAGATCTGTCATAGAAGGTGACTGTTCAAATTTAAGCCAAAACTCAGTTTTTATAACACAAGCTTACCTCTCAATACCCATGTTGCTCCATCCAAACTTCCAGTTTTAAGAAAAATTTCTGCAGCTTTATTAACAATTTGACATCTTGATGCAAACCTTTCTGCACCTGTAACTCCTTTCAAGACTGTAAAATGTATCTGTAGCTCATGCAATTTATCCAAAACCTTCCTTCCCTAGCATAAGAGGGAGAAGGGAAAAGGGGGAAGGTCAGAGAAAGCAATGATATCAGTGAACGCGGAGTATATTTACACAAAATACAGCAGATTTAATTCAGTGATACAGATTTATAGGTATCAGTTTAGTATCCAAACTGAGTTGGGAAAAAAAAAAAGTATAGTAAAATTTCTAATAGTAAGTTTTTTTGACTGTGTAGGCAAAAAACCCCCACCAACCCATTGCTGAACAGTTCCCAGCACACTATCCCCCATAACATTATTTCTACTATGTAATGTTCCTATATGGTATTTTTAATACACTTTGTAATTAATTTGTCTTTGCTTACTTTGGTATATTAATATTTTTTACTCTTCTGATTCCACTCAGCACTACACAACCTATAAAATTCTAAAAAGATCATACAGAGAGTTTTCATTTTGCAGCAAAGGCATAATTGTTAAACTGAAATAATTACTCCAGCATAAGCCAAAGAAAACACTGATAGTTGTACCCAGCAGGACAGTAAGCTGGAAAAAGTTGGGCCTATCTGGCCAACAGCATAACAAACAACAACTTTATCATCATATTCCAGGTTGATATTTAGACTGGTCTCCTACAGAAGCTTCCTCTTAACAACTTTTTGGTCGGCCTTTTCAGTCAAAGATGGAAGAAAGGTAGCAGTCTCAAAGATAATTAAGATCTGACCAATCTAAAAAGATGATGATTGAGTCAAAGTGGGATATCAAATTAATGTCCCCAGCAAGGCAAGGACAGGCAGGATTGAGCACTTGTCCCGTCTGGCTGCACCCTGCTGGTCAAGCAACACAAACGAAACTCCAAACTAGACATGTTTCAGCTCTGGCTTAGTGGGTGCACCAATGAAGAGGTGGCTTTTTAAAAATCGTGGTCATATGTGTGCACACATTGTGGTGGTGGAACAAGGGTTGTGGAGGTAGAGGGAAAGGGACATTTAGGAGAACAGAGAAGTTGACAGAAAATGAAACATACTTATTAAGCAGCTCATTTTTGGAAAATGCTTTATGCATATGCACATACATACTGTGGACTGGCATATACTTAAAATTGGAGACTTTTGAAGGCCTACAGGTATCTGCAATGGTTTATCTCAGCATAAGCCAAAAAAGAATACTAACTACATCATTGCAGTTAACGTTTAAGGTGTAAAGAACCCATTCAACTGTAATGTACGTGGCTGAAGGGAAAAAATAAATACCAGAAAGACTCGTGAAAAATTTTGACAGCAAAATAGAAACTTGCAGTTGGTTTATCCCAGCATAAGCCAAAAAAGAATACTAACTACATCACTGCATTAACGTTTAAGGTGTAAAGAACCCATTCAACTGTAATGTACGTGGCTGAAGGGAAAAAATAAATACCAGAAAGACTCATGTGAAATTTTGACAGCAAAATAGAAACTTGCAGTCTAAGTGCAAACCAGAAACAAAATTAAGGAGGATCTGCATCTGTTCCATCCTTCTAGCAAAAGGAAGGGCCACTAAGAAGTGGGTCTTTATAGAAAGATGGAAAGCATCCAGCTATAAGCACAAATGATCTATAAAGGAAGGGCACCCAATTAAAATGCAGTTCTGGAATAAGAGCCTTAATTGGACAAGAGCCTCTGACCAATCATCTGACGTAATAAAAAGTTGGGTAAAAATAAACCATAGCAAAGTCCTTCAAGACAGGAAACAGTTGAAATGGGAAGTGGATGAAATAGTTGCCCAAGGAATGTTAATGTTGCAGGATTCTCTACAAGTAAGTATCCAGAGAGTAGTCTAGTGTTGCTTGAAGAGCTGTCTCCATGGAAGACCTATTCACATGTTTCAAATCTGCGTGTTTTGTTGAAGTACTTCTGTTTTATGGACTTTCCTTAGCTCTTACAAAGAATATTCTCTTCAGGACCAAGAGGCATACATAATTTACTCCCAAGAGCCACCAAGAATCAAAGCTATGCGATAAAGAGGTTTGATGTTCATGAAGGGAAAGTGATCTGAAAAGCACATCTAGAGTTTTAGGCAGTCCAACATATTCATAAAATGGCATAGGGCATGTCCTAAAGCTAAAATGACTTTGGGCACAGCAGGAAGAACAAATCCACTGCTATCTTATTTTCTGTACCACTTTTTGGAAGAAACAAGATATGGGATCAAGCAGATACTAGCCTGTAACCACAGCATTAGGGACTTATCTGATAAATATAATGGAGTGAAACTGGTCGGAGAGAGGTAGGAATGCCAGTTCTAATTCATCCCTGAAGCAGAGATCAGTTTGGGATCTGCCAGTTCTGATAAAAATAATTCAGAGCACAGCTTCATTCACACTCCCATATGGTCAACACAGGTTCTCCACAAGGCTGTTTGAGGATCTTAGTGAGCAGTCTGTTGAGAGGTGGGTCTGGTACCTAAACACAACATTCTCAAAGAAGCAATGATCTTTTGCTCTATACATGAAAAAAAATCATAGTATTGTAAGAACTGTCTACTTTTAGTAGCTCCTGTTATACAAGAGAAACACTACACATGCTTTTGACACCTTGCACCTCTGAAATTAGGACATGAAGATGAACCTCCTTGGAATATCACAGGCCCTGCAACCCAAATATCAGGATCTCCCTTAAGATGGATCTGGAAAGCAGCTAAAATGCATGATGGCATTTCCCT